GACCGACAGACCGACAGACCGACAGACCGACAGACCGACAGACCGACCGACCGACCGACCGACCGACCGACCGACCGACCGACCGACCGACCGACCGACGGAGAGACAGAGACAAACAGACAGAGAGAGAGAGAGAGAGAGTTGGCCCATTCTTTCCCAAACTGAAAGAAGCAGGACCCTCACTCTGTACTAATCTTTGGGATGCCACTCCCACTCCATCTCTGCATAGTGACTGGCATAGTGGTGCCTTCAGCATCGCATTCAGCTCCTGGGCAGAAGATGTCTGGTCGAAGGGTCTTGGGTGATCTTTTTTGCACCTCGTGTTGGTTTGCGCTTGCACAATTTTCCAGGATGGATTAACGATCAGCCTTCTGTGCAACCAGTTTGCGCTTACAGAACTAGATACTCAACCGCAGTGAAATGCTCCTCGCGTGCACATAGTTCATGTCGAAGAGTTTCGAACCTAACAAACAAATGCACATACGAGGGAGGATCGACACAGCAGGCCTATCACCTGGATGTCCTCACCATCTTTCCAGGAGAAGAACACTTCCCTCTCACGCTCAGCAAGTTCTCCTTGCAGCCCAGCTGCTGCTCTGTCTGCTCTTTCAAGAGATTCGCCACCTCTGTCTTCGCTCCCTCAGCGGATGTTGCCTCTGCCTGGGCTGCCGCCAGCTCCTCACGCAACTTGGCTTCTATGGCACTGACCGCTATGGCCTTTGCCTCTGCAGCTTCCACCCGTGCCATCAGCCCAGCCACTGCTGTTTTGGCTTCGGCATCTTCCTGTGCCATGACCTTGGCCATGTGAGCCTCAGCCGCTGTCCTCCTCCGTGCCTCCGCGATGGCCTCACTCATGGCCTCGGCCATCTGGGCCGCCTCCTTCCGCGCCTTCACCTCCGCCGCCGCCGCGATCTCCGCGAGCTCCGCGCCGGTGGTCTCGGCCACCTTGGCCTCGGGCAAGGCCTTTGCGGTCTCGGCCTTGGTCTTCTCTGTCTTCCGGGAGCGCTCTCGGTCCTGCAGGTCATTGACCGCATATGAAAGGTGCTTTAGGGCAATATGCATGGTGACCAAAAAGTTGTTAGCCGGGTGAGTCAGCTTTTCTGCAACACCTGGTTTCAGGTCTGCTCAAAGAGTGAGAGCACTCTTTGGATCGCATCGCCACAAAAGCCTTTCGTCAAAGTACTAAGGTCAAGAATCTAGCACATTTCCAATGGCTCATTGTGACTCTATGCAGGATATGCTGCATCAATAGCATCCAAAGCGCTGCACAAGCATTAGCATGAGCTACTATGTCCGAGCTCGAACTGCGCCGCAGGAGCTCCAACAGGGTTTACTACTCGGTCAAGGAGAGCATTTCAGGTGGGTGCCATCCTCAAGAGGACAGTGTCAGAACGTGTCTTTGCTCTCTAACAGAATGATGGCTCAACATCGGATACCTCGAAAAATCGGATACCTCGCATGTTCATAACTGCAGTTTCTTGTGCCAACTTGTGTTGGGAGAACGCTGTTTATGATGTTGGAGACATTGAGCCCCAACATTTGGAGGTCTTGTCTTCCAGGATCACACAGGTGTGCCTCAGCTTGGCTTTGCAAACATGATAAAGATACACGCATCCCATTTGAGGTTTGTAAAATCAGACCAATAATCATGCTATTTCAGCAGCAACTTGGAACCATACATGCTTATATATATTATGCCTCCATGCGTGAAAACTCTGCTCATAGAAAGATCGCTCAGGGTGTCTCTCTATACCAAGCAAGATGCCACGCTCCAGCCAAAACATTGACAGCTCGCTGTGGCAGAGGCTCCGCCATCTCGGCCATGTCAGGAAGTTTTAAGAACAGAGCCGTGGGGTCCACTTCGCCCAACAAAGGTGCTGAAGAAGGCTCAAAAAGATGTCGCTCGGTGCGGAATGGGCAATGGGACTCTTTTGTGATGGATGATGCTCGAAAGCTGTTGAAGCATGTAATGGAATATATAGAAGAATCCAGAAGTCTTTGCAAAACCATTAGGGGGTCCCTTCTAAATTGGGTAGAGAAAAGGCCCAAAAATTCTGATAACCTTCCTGGTGTCTCTTGGCTCCACACGAACTTCATACCTTTCCATCCGAGTCGCTAGGTTGGCCCCAAGCTCCCAGGGCTCAATCCCAATGGCTGGCACTGGCCTGCTGGAAAAAGCCTGGCTTGTCAGAAAAAGCTCGAATGCAAAGCATCCCTTGGCAATCAAATGTTGACCACCATATACCACAAGATTGTAAAGATGAGCTGAGTTTGAAGAAATCCATAAGATCAGCAGGTTGACTCCTCTGGTGATCTCACAAGCTCGACGCAACTGCCAGGCCTGCCCTTGGCTATTAGCTCCCCAGCATTTCACGCGACCTTGCAGTCTTGTGAATGGGAGAAAATTGTTCCAACCAAAGGTCTGAACCTCAGGGTCTTCCAAAACCTTGATCCTGGGACAGATGAAATAGTCGATGCAATGCTGTGGAAACAGGTCAGATGGCATTGCACTGAAGGTTTACACGTCTTGCACGCTTGCACGGAGACACTCAGGACCTTCATGTGTTCAAAACATGTTACAACCAACATACCAAATCCATCCGAATCCAATTACCCACTTTCATTGAGTGACGTATGGAGGGACTGAACTGAATTGCAGATCTCTCACCGGACATCCGACATCTACTCCGCTGTGCTCCGGTCTCCGGGCCGTCCACCAGGCGCGCACAGCTGTGCTCGTGCCCGGCAGAGACCTCGACAGCTACGGCGCCCAAGGAGACCTGCCAGTGAAGCAGAAACATCGCACTGGTCCATCGTTTTTGGGTGGTTCGAAGGGAATCCTTACAAGTCCAAAAAGGAAAAGTAACGAGTTGATACAAATCCTCTTTGCAACAAATGATGAAAGGGAGGTTTATATGTTCACTGTTTAATACTGTTTATATATTTTATACACAAAAAAAAGGTGATTCTGATGGAAATTCTGATGGAAAGTTTACGGCCCAACCCCAAATAGACTCTGCTGCAGATGTTTTGTCTCGATCCAATCCCTTCTGGATGCTTCGGATCGATCCGAGCACAAAGACTTGATCGATCCGAGCACTGGCACCAAAGGACCCGTTCACTCTTTGCACCAAGACAGAGGCCCTAGTGGCGTCTTGCTCCTAGCGATACCAGGAGCCCCTAGTAGCGTCCAAGACACTGGCATGAGCCAATCCCCCATCTCCTTTGGCTCATCACCACGATTCGATCGATCACCAGTGCCCAGCTGTCCACGGCTGTTGGAGCCCCAGCACTTCACCTGCCAAGAACATCCCTGTCTGACGATAGCATGAGACCTGTCTGACTCATAGCTCCGTCTGACGTCAGCAAAACATGGTAGGCCCGTAGGAGGTGTCTCTTCTTATGTGAACAAGACCCTGGATAGCTCCGAGCTCGGCTTTCCTGCAGGCCTGGCCCGTCTCCAGCAAGGCACACGTGTGGTGAGCACCACTGGAGATGTTTCGGATGGGTCCGCCCACCAAAACTCGCTCCTGCCGGCCACAAGGACAGTCATATCGCGACTGTGATCCTGCGTTCTGGTGGATTGGTACCAAGCGCATCCCTTGCCTGCAGTAAGGGGCGGGAGATGGTGTCGCCCTGGCCCAGCTGCCCTGGCAAGGAAAGGCGCAACCAGCTTTGAGGCTGCATCCGGCTTGAAGGGCATAGTTTGGGTGGCTGAGAGTTCTGTTGAACAAGCTGGAGAGGACATCAAATGAACAAGTCAACCTTCCCCTGCAACTCCAATACTCGACTGCCCATGAGTTCCATATTCGCCTTGATCGTTCATGGGCCCCCAGCAACTGACCTCTCGCGATGCCCAGCGCGATTCCTGCAATGCGCACTGGAAGCCTCAGTGTCAAGCTCCTGAACCCGCTGCTAGCTTGGTTCCTTTTTCTCTTTAGAATATCAAATCAAAGTCCACTAAATTAAACCCCTGGTGAACCGTACATGTCCAAAGCATGTGGCAAACAAGTGAGAGAAAACAAACAAATCCAACAAGACTCCGTAGAAAATCAATCACATCAAGCTGATGCATGTTCAAAGAAACTCTGATGGTTTTTGCATCGTCAACTTCAACTTGTAATGGGTGTTGTACATGTAGATCATTACATTAAACATCACAACACCCTGAAAAGAAGTTTAGTCAACCTACATGTGCATGATAATGCTGTTGACAACTCGGACGAAGAGAAAACACATGGCCCCCAAGCTCTTAAGACCTATTCCACAAGCAACCCCAGCAGTTTCAGCATGTTTCAGCAAGTGGCCAACCCCTTGGGTGCGATGCTGCACCACGCCCGCACCATCACTTGTGGCTAGTAAAGCCCAGGCAACCAGGCGAGCCATGGCGGGCAGGACTACTTTAAGATCTGAAAGTGTGTTACATGTTTTGTGACACTTAAGGCTTAAGGTTGGTGGCAAAATTAAAAAAAAGACATCAGTTGTTCTCGGCTTCAGTGCATTAGTTCAGATCCATATATTCTTTGGTGCACAGCTGTCCAACAATTGATTAGGCTTACAAGGAATAAATTGAACCCTTCTACTACCACACGTGTAAAATGTTGCAAATGAGCAGGTGTTTTAAGCTGACAACATACGTGAAGCAGGACAATCCTTCTCTGAGTCACGTACTCTTCGCTTCACTTCTTGGCAAATGTCTGAATGATGCTGTGACAGGTTTTCACAACACCGTCCCCGAAAGTTGCGAATGACAGCTTCACCCAATTGAAGCATAGTCCTTGGAATGCTCCAGGTTGGCAGCAACCTGCGAAGCCATTCATACAAGGACCTTTTCAGAGCATTTTCGGACACTAAGATTGCCATATTCTTTCGCCGTTGCCGAGTAGGCGGATTCATGCGCAGCTATTGGGGATGTGTGTTTGGCTTATGCTCTTTCAAACATGAGATCTTTCTCAAACATCGTATTAACAAAAAGTGGAGTTGCTGCGGGCCATCAACGAAATGTCTTAACAAAAGCAGGCAACAGCTCAACAGCTGTTGCTTCCCAGGCTCCATGGAAGGGCACGAACTGAAAATGTTCAGAAGAAGTCCGCGGCTGGTCTTCCCTAAAATCTAGGAACCAAATGAATAGTGCGAGCGCTTCTTCAAGGAAACTCCTCCCCGTCTTTAGGGCGTCCATATGTAGCTACTCATATAAGGATCTGTTGTTGTTGTGACACCTTTGTGACTTTCGCTATGTTCGACCTTGGCGGCACGCGTCTCAAAGCCCCGGCGCTTGGAGCGGCGCACGTCCAGGACAGGACGAACCTCGGGTCACCGTGGGTGTCAAAACCCCGCCCTTTGGCTTTCAACTCTTGGATTCCCTTTGTAGAAGGTACTAGGGGCTCCTGCCATCACTACTAGGAGCAAAGGACGCTACTAGGGGCTCCTGGCATCACTACTAGCGCTACTAGGGGCTCCTGGCATCACTACTAGGAGCAAGGACGCTCCTAGGGGCTCCTGGCATCACTACTAGGAGCAAGGACGCTACTAGGGG